TAGATTGGAGATGGCATAACATGGAGATAAGGGAGGGTAGCAATAGCAATTAGGGGTGGGCAAACGGGCCATGGGCCCGCGGGTAGGGGCGGGTAGGGGCGGGTATTGGCGGGTACGGGGCGGGTTCTGTTTTTTAAGAGGGGAAACGGGGCGGGGCGGGCAGGGGGCAATGTCATTTTAGGGTCGGGCCGGTTCCAGATGTATAGAAAAACGGGGCCCCGGACCGGCCCGTTTGTAATTGAAATGGACAGCCCAGATTGAAAATAAACCTACCTTCCTATCGTGACCGTTGGTTTTTACCCTAGTATCTAAATCTGATCGAGTCTCTCTCTTGAGTCAAGAGTCCTCGACCTCTCCGTCTGACCTCGTCCCCTCTCCTTGCCTCTCCATTCCACACCGTCACTCCTCGTCAGTCATCTCCTTGCCCACCTCCGACATCACCGCCGTCGTGAGTCTGAGCCCTGACGACCACCAGAGCTGATCTGCTTCTCGATTATTCTCCTCGACGACATCTCACCCTAGACCTAGAGAACCCAGGAACCCGCACCACCCATCTTCTCGATTCTCTTTCTCTCCTTCCCGACGACATCACCGCCCTTGCGATCACTAACACTCCACCGCCGTTGCCAACTTGCCAGTTCAGGTGAATTCTTTAACTTCTTTTTTTTTTCTTTTTTTTTTTAAATTTTTTTATAGGTTCTTTAACCTCTGATGTTTGTAACTTTTTAGTTGAACTTTGATCTATTGGGATGTATCATGTATGTAATCTATGCTCAATCTATTGGGATGTTCATGTTTGTACCTACAGAAGAAACAGAAATTGTACTAAATTTTCTGTTCTTTTAGATTGATGATGACGAGGAGGTCACCATGATCCATTTTCCACATATGGTGTCTGTATCACATCATAACGCACAGATGTAGGATCTGCTTCTTATAAGTTCCAGTCATTTATAGTTGATTTTCTAAGTGTTTCAACTAGCAAGGAACTTGCTGGCTGGCAATGGGTTTACTAGGAAGGATCAGGAACAGATTGGACAAGGAACTTGCTGGCTGGCTGGCTGGCTGGCAATGGTAGATTCATATACATTCTCGATTTTCTGTTTTTGAAGCCAGACACTCATGTTGCTGGCTGACAAGGAACCTGCTGTGTATTTAGAATCTGTGTAAAATGCAATTCAGAAGTACTTATTAAGACATATTTTATAGGGTATAGTCTAGCATCCCAAAACCTTCCCTGGCTTTTCTCTCACAAGGCTAGAGAGTGAAAAATAAAGAAGAAAAATGATTTTTCATTTTGATTTTTTCGTTCTTAATAATATGATTTTTCATTTTATTACTGGATATTGACCTGGATATTCTGTTTTGTTGTTAATTCTTAGAGGGTAAGCAAGGGGAAGCAACCTTTCAACATTGATCTCACACCCTATCGCGATTAGAAGACTTGAAGCTACTCTATTGGTAAGATGGTGGTATAACACATTAAGTATTTGTCTGTTTTTCTTATGTTGCCCATTACTGTTAATGCATTTTGTGTTGTGTTTAACTCCCTGCTGTGTATTTATGTGTTGTGTGATGAGCTTAGCTATGTGTTTTGATTCTGTGGGGGTTTAGAATCTGTGTAAAAATGCATTTTTATAATCTATAAGTGCAGCTTTGAAACTGTGTAAAAATGCAGTTTTGAAACTGTGCAGTTTTAGAATCTGTGTAAAATGCAATTCAGAATCTGTGTATTTATGTGTTGTGTGATGAGCTTAGCTATGTGTTTTGATTCTGTGGGGGTTTAGAATCTGTGTAAAAATGCATTTTGATTAATGAATACACTTTCATTATTTAATTTTTACAGATTTTTACATAATGTCTCAATCTCAAAGTCAAAGTAGCCCTAGTACCAATGTAGCATCATCTACGGCTACATCACCATGTCCTCCACAACCCACACAGGAAAAAACATCAATGCCTCCCCCAAAACCCACCTCCTCTAGAAAAAGAAAAGCACCACCTATTCCAAAGACAAAACAACCAACTATATTAGCTTCAATAGAGAGATCTTCTTCTGAGAGATCTTGGGTTTGGGATCATGTCACTAAGTGTACCGTCTCGGAAATACAAGCAGTAGAAAAGGATGGAAAGAAAGAGATGGTGGAGGTACAATTATTGAAGGCTAAGTGTAACCATTGTAGTGCCCTTTTTGCATGTGATACTAGTGGGGGTGGAACTAGTACTTACATTAAACATATCAATAAACATTGCAAGTCATATAAACCAACTGATGAGTTGCAAAAGGTTCTAGGCAATTCTGGACCTTCTGGGGACGTTAAAAACATGCTTGTTGCTAAAGGGTGGAGCCAAGAAGAGGCAGTGGAAGGTATTGTTGAGTATATTGTGCTCGAGGAGGTACCTTTTAGTGTTGTGGAGACTGAGGGGTTTAGGCGGATGATGTACAAAGTTCAGCCTAGGTTGCATGTTCCATCTCGAAGAACTATTGTGAGGGACTTATTCAATATGTATGATACCATGAAAGATCAGTTAAAAAAAGAGATACACAACCATAGAGTGAGCTTGACTACTGATACATGGACAAGTGTGCAAAATTTGAACTACATGGTGCTAACTGCTCATTTTGTGGATGACGAATGGGATATGCACAAAAGGATTCTAAATTTTTGTTTGATTTCAAGTCATGAAGGCAAAGAAATAGGGAAGCTACTTGAGCAATGTTTGGTTGAGTGGGGGATTGAGAAGGTTATGTGTATCTCAGTTGACAATGCATCGGCTAATAAGGTGGCAATTGAGTATATTGTTCGTAAAATGCAGAAATGGCCTAATAGCAAAATTGTTATGAATGGCAAGTTTATGCATGTGAGGTGCTTAGCCCATATTATCAACTTGGTAGTGAAAGATGGGTTGAAAAGATTAGATACAAGTGTTGATGCTCTTAGAAATGCCGTGCGGTTTGTGAGATCAAGTCCTCGAAGGTTTAGTTATTTCAAGAAATGTGTGGAGAATGAGAAGTTGGATGGTCGGGGTCTAGTTGTTATGGATGTACCTACTAGGTGGAATAGCACATACATGATGCTAGAATCGTGCTTGAAGTTTAAAAAAAGCATTTGAAAGGATGTTCGACGATGATGAAGCCAATATATACTCCACCTATTTCGGGGAAAATGTGCTTAATGATGAAGGAGAAGAAGTGGCGGGTAAAGGGAGGGTTGGGCCACCGAAGGACAAAGATTGCTGTTCATGATGTCATTGCTGTGGAGAGAGAGATTGAAAAGCTTTTTTTGCCTGAATATATGCAAACTGGAGGAAGTGTAGAGGTGGTGCTACGTGACATGGCAATGAGTATGAGAGCCAAATATCGAAAGTATTTTGGTTCAATTGAGTCCCTTAATCAAATATTTGTAGTTTCCCTTATTTTAGACCCAAGGTTCAAATTAAGGCACTACATGCACTTGTGTAGAAAGCAATTACACATTCCCGAAGAAGAGATTCAAAAGAAAAGTAATGAAGTGAAGACATTGTTGAAGGCGATGTGTGATGAATATGCTTACCAAGCTTTCGGTTCACAAACACAACAAAAGGGTAGAGGAGGAGATTTAGTTGTTGGTGATACTACTTGTTCAAGGGTAAAACCATCATCTAGTGTGCTAACAGAAAATCCAATGATATTTAGTCAAATGATGGATGATTGGGAGAAAGAACTAGAAGACACTGAGGATATTGCACTTGCACATGAGGTGGATAGGTATCTCCTCGACACTGTAGAGAAAGTACAACATGGTTCATTTTTTGACGTTTTGAAATGGTGGAAGTCGAAAGGGAGGAGCACATATCCCACACTTGCTTTGATAGCGAAAGATGTGTTGCCAATTCAAGTGTCGACAGTTGCTAGTGAGAGTGCATTTAGTGGAGGAAAGAGAGTAATTGACCCCTTTAGATCATCTCTCCTTCCTCAAACAGTGGAGTCATTGATGTGCCTCCAAAACTGGTTAAGAAGTGAACCAATTAGCAGCATTGAGTATGAAGCAAGTCCGGCGGAGCTTGAATTTTATCAAGAGTGTGAAGAAGGTAATTCTTTTGTTTTGTATAGTTTGGTCTATAACTTTATATTAATTTGTTTACGATTAACATCCTTTTGTTTGTTGTTGTAGAATATAAAAGAAGAAAAGCAAATGCTAATGTTATATCTACAAGCTCAACCATCTCATCAAGTGATGCTGAAATTTGAAGCTCTTCAAACAACTCAAATGAATAAAGGAAAAGGAATTGCGGTAATATTTTAAACTTAAATGAATATGCTCTACTTTTCAATGATTCAATGAGGATAATATGATGATGGACGTTAATAATATCAAGTTTATATTTTATTTTTCCTTACAGATTCAATGAGGAATGATGTTGGAACTTGGATGTTGGAAATTTGGAATTGGATGTGGTTTCCTATGTTCATTTGGAATTTATTGAAACTGTCATGTTTATGTTTTGAATTATTTGATTTTTGGACTTTGGAATTTGGATGTCTTGGATTAAGTAGGTTTTGAATATTTTGTATGTTGATTCGATCTTTAGATGTTGGACGCTATAATGTTATTTTGGATGTATTGAATATGTGCAATTGTAAATTTGCACAGATTGCAAATTTGTGCAATTACAATCTGTGCAGTACTGCAGCAATTTGTGGTTTTTTTTTTTATTTCAATCTGTGCTTTAAACAGCAAAAAAAAAAAAAAAAAAAAATTACCCGTGGACCCGGACCGAACCGGCCCGTTTAAACCGGGCCGGGTAAGGTCCGGTTCCTATTTTAATATTTGCAATGCCCGGCTCGGCCCGGCCCGTCTCCCTTTATTCCGGGTCCGGTCCGGTCCCTTCAAAAATAGGCCCGGCCCGGCCCGTGCCCACCCCTAATAGCAATTAGCAACGGAGAGGGACTTGGGGTAGGTCCCGCATAGTTGAGTTTCTGTCATCCAGACACAGAGAGAGGGGAAGGCCCCACCGAAGGCCAAAAGCCAGAAGCCATCTGAGTCAGGGAAATATCAGATATTAGATTCTGAAGAAAATATTAACAACGGTGGAGATGTGCGTAGAATGATGCATAACATATTCTGCATAGGCTATAGCCAACGAGGAGGATTCCGATAACCATTATCCTCAAAAAAACCACCGTCGCCGTTGCCGTTGCCTTTGCCATTGCCAGCAAACTCGATGTATATATTCAGACTGGCATAGAAAGAGACAGAGATTGTGTTTGCCACTGAATATTCTCAACAATAATATTATTAATATTATTCCGAAATTTCATCAGTTGCTCCGTTGCGGTGCGTTGCGGTGTGATAAATGACATGTCAAAATCCAGTTGTCGTCGACGTTGATGTTGCTGCAGCTGCTAAGGAAGAGGGTTGTTGTTAGGCCACCTGCCTCTTTTACCTTGCTTTCATTTCATCGATCCTTTCTCGTTACTTCCCAATTGCCAATTGGGATTTGGAATCTTTGGATTTTTGAAATCGTTAATTCCAAAGCGACAACCCAAAGCCAAACACTATATAACCATCCAATCCAATCTCACACTCGATTTCATCACACCGCCATTAATATTAGAGAAAGAAAGAAAGAATCAAGAGGAATGCGAAATGCCTCCGCTCCCGATGAAACTCAAGCAATCTTCTGCTTCCGCTTCTTCTACCAATCAATCCCTCACCACAACCGCCACCAGCGCGCAGGAAGCGCGCCTTCTCGTCCGTGAGACGCTGCGTATCAGTGCCACCCTCGCTTCCTTCGCTCCCTCCCAGTCCCAGGCCCTGCCTTTGGACGCCCAACCCCCCAAGCAGCATCTTCCCCAGCTGCTCCACCACGATCAGGATTTTGTGGGCTCCAGCTTCCGTTTGATTTGCTGCGAGGAGATCGACGGCCGTCGATGGAACTACGTCGCCGAGCCCGATTCCTCCTCCTCCTCCTCTGCAACCACCTTCAGGAAGGGCTCTTTTCGCGCCCTTAGCTTGCACAGCCCTCAACCCCCTCTCGACGTCAGTACTTTTCACTTTAATCACTCTCCCTCTCTCTCTCTCTCTCTTTCTCTCTCTCTTAATTTGGCTGCTGCATTTTTCTTTCTTTTTATATCTTCTTCTTTTCCAAGCTTTGTTTCATACAATTTCTCAACTTAATTATGGATACCGAACAAGTGTAACCTTTCTGGTGAGTTGCTTAATAAGCATTGACATTGTGTGCAATTTATGCATCACTCATAGCCGTTCCAAAATTTGATCACTTTTTCTCTGACTGATGACGACACTTCTGAGTTTTGTGCGTCGGATTTTTGGTGCAGGGGTTGATGTCTTTTGTAAGGTCATATGTTGTCCCAGAAGGTTTCCCTGATAGTGTAATCCCTTCCTATGTCCCCTACATGACATGGAGAGCTCTCAAGGTACATACACTATCATAAAAACTTATTTTCTATTGTCTGTTTATCATCCCTGCTGTAGAAGCTGCTCCAACTTCTTAAAGCCGTTGCCCCTTGGTTGAATCGAATGCCATCAATAACCATATTTTTTTTGTAGCACTTCTTTGGTGGCGCAATGGGTGTTTTTACAACACAAACCCTTTTGAATTCAGTTGGGGTCTCTAGAAATACATCTGCTTCTGGGGCTGTTGCTATCAACTGGATTCTCAAGGTAACAATATTATTTGTCGTTATTGTTCTGGCATTTCTTCATCGCATTGCATGATTTGGATTTCTAAAGCTTTTGACTCTTAAGAAAAATTGTAACATCCCTCTGGGTTTCATTTCTTTTGGTTGCAAAAGCATGTTTTAAAGCACTTTAAGAAAAGTTGACAGTGGCTACTAAGTTTTGTGTTATGCAATTACTTTGCCACATTAGACCAGACCAGGGAGGAGTTCAATTATACCAGTGCCTTTTGTGAGATCTTCGTATTCTTGTCCCATTTACAACCTGTTGCCATGAGGTGAAGGACTGTCATAGTTACATTAATTAGTGACTTAGATATCCAATTGAATCTGGCACCACAAATGAGTGCAAAAACCTGCTTACTCTTACTCTTGTGCAGTCATGAATAGAATCTTAATTGTCTCAGATAAATGTTATACGCTGAACAGTCTGGTAGGCAATGTTTCTTTTGGGTTGTGCCCGTTTTCATTGTTGAAGGAATGTTAAAGTATGTTTTTGTAGAGTCAAGCGTACAAATTTGTACTTTTGGCTTTTACCCTTTTGAGGCATTTTGAACTGTAATTTTGAGTTAGTTAATGATACCAAAACTTGGAATTGTTTATGTAGAAGTTTACTTTTGTGCCTTGTGCTACAGCTTTTTCTTCTAATGTCGATATGGTATAACAGAATGATTTGAATCTAAACTATTAAATTTCTGTCTAGGATGGTGCTGGGCGTGTTGGAAAAATGCTTTTTGCCCGACAAGGAAAGAAATTTGATTATGATCTAAAACAGGTAAGAAATATTTGCCAACTTCATGGTACTGCACATTTCATAACTCACAATACCTCACTCACCTTTTCTTAATGCTGAGGTGTTATAGTTGCGGTTTGCTGGTGATCTTCTCATGGAATTGGGTGCTGGAATAGAGTTGGCAACTGCAGCTGTCCCTCACCTGTTTCTTCCTTTGGCTTGTGCAGCTAATGTGGCAAAGGTTTGACATTTTTGTATAACTTAAATTATTCCTTGTTAGTTTTACAACCTCTCATCCTCTTTTGTTTTTCATAGAATGTTGGTGCTGTTACATCAACATCAACTCGGACACCAATTTACAAAGCATTTGCAAAAGGAGAAAACATTGGAGATGTGACAGCTAAAGGAGAATGTGTTGGCAATATTGCGGATCTGGTATGCTTGCCCAACTTCTTTTGTAGGATGAATATGTGTTACAGGAATCTGGACATTGTATCACTGAACTATATGAGCACATTGGTGTAGTGGGGGAGAGAGACTCACATATGAAGGGAGGAGTGAGAATATGGAATAATTGTTTGCCCACATCTTACTAGCTTAAGCTTCTTGTAAAAGTAAAATGCAGTTGTCGTTGTTGCAGTTGTCATGTTAGGATTCATATAGCCGACCCCACTTAGTGGGATAAGGCTTCTTCTTGTTGTTGTTGTAGCAGTTGTCATTGTCTCATAACTTTTGGGGTCTACCCCCTAGTGTGATTCATCTTAATTTGGCTTGACCTTTGTGTTGTGTAGCTTTGGTTGTCTTGTGGTTTTTTCCAAGTGGATAACTTATCATTGTTTTTGTGCTTTGTTTTCACTTCTATAACAGTTCTAGTTTTCTTTGCCTATAAACTCTCATTTCATGTAAACGAATAACAGATTTTTATTTTTTTAATTAGTCTCTGTGTTCCAATGTGCACTTTTATGCATGAACTTAATCATTTTTTGTTGATGATTGTGAACCTATGCCTTGTGAAGCTGGGAACTGGCCTGAGTATATTGATCTCAAAAAGAAATCCATCTCTGATAACTACATTTGCGCTCCTTTCATGTGGCTATGTTCTCAGCTCCTACCAAGAGGTTCGTGTACAATAGTGAAGATTGATTTAGATTTGCATGCTTCCATGTATCATTTGTTTAATAGAAGTAATTTGTTTCCAGGTTAAATCTGTAGTATTGCACACCTTGAACCGAGCGAGATTCGGTGTGGCAGTAGATGCCTTTCTTAAAACAGGTTAGCATCCATGTTCTACCTTAGAGTTCCCCTCATGGCATCATGCATAATAGTTATCCCGAGTGTTTTTCCAGATATATATTGTAATTATGCTTTCTTTTTCCCCCATTTCTAGGGCGAGTGCCGTCATTGCTGGAAGGAAACTTGAAGGAAAACGTTTTCAATTTTCCCTGGGTGAAAGATGGGCCTATCGTTCTTGGTATGTTTGGGAAGATCTTGTTCTTTGTTTATGAATCATGAACATCAGGTTTTTTGGTTCGCCTTGAGATTTTCTCTTTTATCATTCATTTTTATTTTCTCCACCGAGTGTCAGGACAACGATTTAAAGATGCATTCCAAGAGCCAAGTGTATACCTTGCGATAGAGCCGTTCTTTGAGGTAAGCGCTTTTGAGGAGGGGTTAAGTTTTGACCTATTATCCTAATTTATATTCGTTAATATTTCTTTTCTTGATTGATGACAGAAAGAGAAATATGTTGTGACATATAATCCTTCAAAAGGTAAAGTGTACGCATTGTTCAAAGATCAAGCGAAGTCAGATGACATTCTAAAAGCGGCATATCATGTGAGATATACTGCTTATTTCTATGGTCTTTGGCATTTAGAAGAAGTTTTTTATGTTTTCCTTCATATAAGGGATTGTAGATGTTATATATCACTTTGTTTTACAGGCTCAGGTACTTCTGCATTTCATGCAATTATCATACAACAGTCAGCATCTGTATCAGAAGGACAAGAAAGATGAATTTTTAAACTTCGAGCCCACAGCTAAAGATCTGGAGGCATGCATTGTTGAGTCATGTAACATGGTCTCAACTTCTTATGGGATTTTCAAGAGTAAAGCTAAAGAACAGGTAATTGATTTTCAACATTTTTAACTTTATTATTTTGTCACATTTAGTGGCCAGTTAGGCTGGGTTATAGTAAGCAAATAGATTCCACAATTGTCACAAAACAAAATATGTAAAAGGGAAATGATATCTTTCCAAACAGTA